CAACTATTACTCTTTAACGTCTTCTCAACCGTTACCTTTTAACATTTCCACAACTCCCAACCATTTACTTCCCTCCAAATTCCCTCCAAACTCTGTAGTAGTAATTTTTGCAAACAACTGCCTTTTACCCTGTGCTGTCTTTACCTTAGGATTGTTCAAAAAGGTAGTAAAAAACTTTTATCTCCATGGTCGCCCCTGGATCTTTTACTCTAAAAATTTCAATGGAATCCAGCAGACTTCTGTCATGCTTTTTAAAAAACCAAAAACAAACAAAAAAACCCCTAAAACATTTCACATGAATATCCAAAGTACGCTCCATTAAAACTTCAGAAAAAGTGTGGAGGGGTGTGTGTGGGTGTGGAAAGCAACCCATTAACCCTGTGAGGTCAGTTTAAAGTTCGGGGTAACAGTAGCAAATTAGGTAAACTGAGAAGAAGACGAAGAAAAGGGTATAGTTAGCTCTGAGCCAAGAGTAGGACTCCCTGGGACCTTTACCCCCAGGTTCCTATCCTGGCTCTGGGAGAGGAGTGGGGGTTGTTATCTGCTCCTGCAAACCCTGCCATTTTTCACTTCGAAACTTTTTTTTTTCTCCACTCCCCTAGGATCAAGTCCCAGCTCCTGTCTTTTAAGTTGGTCTGTTAACTCTGGTTTTGACTCCAAACCCTGTTGTGCCAAATCATCTTTAACCACCCCTAACTAATTTACAATCCTCCAGTTGCCTTCGCTGGAGTAGCACCAAACTTGAAAGATTCCTGGCAGCTTCCAATAATGCTGCCTTTACTTCAAACCTCTTACAAGCAGACTTCAGTGCGTTCTTTCTCTGGAAGGCATCCTGTCCCCATGGCCATGGACCTTCTTCCGCTACCCATTTACCAAGGAGGGTGGGCTCCTCAGCAAGCCCCCATCCCTCTGGGTCCCCTAACACTGCCCCCATTTCCTTTTTAATCTCATCCCAGGTTGACCCCTGCACCTTGAATAGGCCCTGATTCTTCTGTAAAAAATCCATTACCCCGGCTTGCCAGAATCCGCAACTACCGTCGTGAGAGCCTGCCATACCCCCTCCAAGCAGCTGCGAAGACTGTTGGGGAGGGGGACTTATCTGGCTGCCACACACCTGTCCGACGTAATGTATCCAAGTCACGGCACCAAGATGTTAGAGGGCTTTCCCTTCACCCTCTCCCCTGGTTCTCGTCACACAGACAGAAAGCAGAAGACCAAAAGTCCAAACAATGCATTGTTTATTGGGGTTAGTTTCCAAGCAAGCATATTCTGAAGACCTTCACACCAGTCGGGCTTCTCTCTTTTCCCCAGTGTTCCATTCCCAGCTCTGATGCTGCAAAGCATTTACCCCATGTCCCCCTTCCCAGCTCTGATGCCACAGAGCCTTGCTTGTGTCTCTGTTACCCATTCCTTATCCCCTGTTCCCGTTCCCCCTCTTGCCAAACATGATTCCAATTTTCCCACACACTTCCTGTTTGACCCCAGTTTATATAGTAATATTCTCAGCTATTCCTTAACCAATCATTTTACTGAAATTTAAGTAACCAATCCTAACATATTGTAACATAATTTTCTAACCAATTATATCCCACTACTGTAATTAACTTACACCTAGCAAAATTAATTATACAGCAGACAGAAACAATTAGAGAACCAAGTATCGGGGGTAGCCGTGTTAGTCTGTATCCACAAAAACAACAAGGAGTCCGGTGGCACCTTAAAGACTAACAGATTTATTTGAGCATAAGCTTTCATGGGTAAAAACCCCACTTCTTCAGATGCATGGAGTAATTTTCACTCCATACATCTGAAGAAGTGGGGGGTTTACCCCTGAAAGCTTATGCTCAATTAGAGAACCAGACAGATTAACAATAGAAAAGTGGGGGCCATAAAGATAAAACAATACAGAAATGCGGGTTTCACAACCAAAACCATTGATAAGTGATTTCTTGCCAGACAGGATGCTATCAAACTAAGTTTTCTTTAACCATCTTAAGATCTGTTTCTTTATCTGGTGATGATGGGCACTAACAGGACAGGATCATCTTCCTAACAGCCCAATACCACCTTATTTCAGTGTTACTGGTTTGGGATGTAAGGTACGCGTCCCAGCTTATGGCTGCCCCTGCTACTTAGCCAAAGGCCTTAGCCTAAGAACAAGGCCTCAGACTATCCTAGTGAGAGAAGGCCCATACGCAGGCGGACTTGTGATTCTTTGTTTTATACCTCTATAACTAGCTAAGTGATAAAAATACACTCAGCCACGTGGCCTTGTGCACTTTCGTGACCCCCTTTGTGAGACTTAATCGTTTACTCTTGGGGGAATTCTGCGCCACTGCACATGCACAGAATTCATGTCCCCTGCAGATTTCTTTGCTTCCCTGCAGAAAAAATGATTTTCTGACAGGGAAGCAAAGAGAAGCTGCAAGACCAGTCAAGCACCACTCCCTAGCTGCGCAGGTACACCATTTCAGGTACCCAGAGCAGCCTGCAAAGAGGTAGATCACTGCAGGGCTGGGGATACCCCAGCCAGTGGCTCCTACCCTGAGCTGGGATCAGCTGCTATTCCTGGCTGGACTGGAAGCTGGAGAGGACGGCACTTCCTCTTCCCTTGCAAGGAGTGGCCAGGGCTGTGTCAGACCCACCCCCAGAATCCTCCCCCAACTGCAGGAAGCTCAGCATTCTCCCCTGCTTCCTGCCCCCGTTGCTCTCCAGCTGCGGAGGAGGGGTCACTGTACGGGGAGCTGCTCCCCCCTCTGCCCAACCCCTGTGCATCCAGACCTCCCATACCCCAGACATCCCTGCCAAGCCTCACCCCATACACCCAGAACCCCCCTAGCCCTCCATACCCAAACCCCACCCCATTGAACCTCAACCCCTGCATCTGAAGCCCCATGCACCCAGACCCCCTGCCTTCAGATTCAGACCCCTGCACCCAGACCACCCCCCACGGAGCTCCCTGCACTCAACCACCCTGATGAGCCCTACCCCCTGCACCACCCTCAGCCCCCACATCCAGATTCCTGTGACACTGACCTCCAAATAGCTGCACACAGACACCCACTCCACCAAGCCCCACTCCCCCAGCAACCAAATCCCCCAGCTGAGACCCCCAGACCCCTCCACTGAGCCCCAACCACTTTCATCTAGAAGCCCCGGCAGAGTCCCATTGCCCCTGCACCTTGACACCCCCCCCCAGCCTCTGTGCATCCAGACTGTCCCAAACAGAATCCTCTCACCCCACACCTGGATCCCCCCACACTGAGCCCTTCCACACTTGGATCCTGCCTGACTGAGCCTGTCTGCCCTACACCTGGTGCACCTGGCACGGAGGGGCAGGGCCCCAGGGAATTTCTGGGGCAGTTCCAGGCCTTGTGCTGTGTCAGGGCTGGATGCAGCCTCACCACTGAGTCCATGTCCCCGGGGTGGGCGTGGGGAGGCTGCAGGGTGATCTCCCACCTTTGCGCAGCCAGTGGCCTGTGCTCCCCACTGCCATGCTGGAGCCTCTGCATTTATGGACAAAACTTGCAGAATTTTAAAATGTGTGCAGAATTATTATTTTTTTGGCACAGAATGCCCTCAGGAGGAGGAGTAGCAAATTTTGGCCATTACTTTAGCCCAGGCCTCTAATAAAAGGCCTTATGTTTCAGGCCCTCTTCTTACTACACTAATGAGTAGGCAGTCTTAGGCATGTGAATCTTTGTATAGTGAAAATGATTGGTGAGTGTTTTGCATAGCTATACTTTGAATAAACTAATTGGTTATGGCAGAGATAAGAGAAATCCTCATTTTAACTCTATAATGAGGGTCAGGAAACAAGCTCATTGAAACTTAACTCTGGGCTACAGCTCAAGACCAAAGCTGCTAGCATTTTTAACCCTTGCACAACTAACTGAGTGGAAGCCAGAGCCCCAGACGAGATCAGATTCTGACTGGCCACTGGGAGACACCCATCTGCTTTACTGGGAGTGGTGAGCATCAGATGCTTGGCATGTGTAGTCTGCCGATTAACTGTTGATTGCTAATAAATGTACATGTTTAAGAATGTTTACTGTGTGATAAAAGCTCCTTTACTGGGACATGGTCCCGTTAACCCGTAGAGGGCCATTTTACCCTGATGGGGAGGAGAGAACAGGTACCCTAAGGTCGTTTGGACCAAATCAATCGAGCCTAACACAGTAAATCATAGCAGGACATGATACTGTTGTCCTTCTGCCTGACCAAGGTTAGCAACCTACTGGCAGAATGACCACCCCAAACACCGAGGAATGGGGGCTAGCTGAGGAGCCTACCCTCGCTAAATGGGTAGCAGAACAAGGTCTGTGCCCATAGGGACAGGATGCCTTCCAGGGAAAGGAGGCACTTGAGTCCTCTTGTAAGGGGTTTGAAGTGGAGATGAAGTTGAAACCAAAGAAAGGTGCTATAAGGCCGGTGGCTGGCTGGGCATTATGGAAAGCCGCTAGCACTCTTTCGAGTTTGATGTTACTCCAGGGAAGGCAACTGGAAGATTGAATGGAATGTTGGCAACCAGGTAATGTATAGAAAATTTGCAGAAAAGGACCATTGTCTGGAGATGAAATGAGAAGGCCCAGTGACCCTTGTGGAAAAAGCCAGCCCAACAGTATAGCAGGTAGAAATCTGGGCAAGCAAATAAAACAAGCCATGATTAAAATTGTTCCATTCCTCACAGATGAAATCATGGAAAGAATGTTTTAAGCAATAAGCAGTGTGATGGATAGTAGCTCAAACAAATATGTACAAGGTAATGGGTCGTAACAACCCACGTCAGGGGGCAGTAGCTAACTACACCTGAGGGGCAATACATAACTTATTTGTATTGATGTATAAAATGAAGCCTCAAGGGGAATGTCTCTGTCTGGCCTGGGGGGAAGGGAAAGTCCCGCCGTTCACTGAACTGGTCCGTTGTAATGGGCATACACGTGTTAGTGCTCCTGTAGAGTAAAGGTTCTCAACGTTTTTCTCTCTGCTTTGTATTTCAGAATACTAATGGCATAGATGTGCATCATCTCCAATAGCTGCCAACATTTGTGTACTGCTTTTATTGATGGTTGGATTGCAGCCCTGCTCCTTTGATGGTGTGAATCTGGAACCTGTTGTATTCGAGGCATGAGGAGACTATCCATGAATAAGGCTGCGAGTCTGTCACGGAGATCACGGATTCCATGACTTTCCGTGACTTCTGCAGCAGCAGCAGTTTGGGTGTGTGGGAGGGGGCTCAGGGCTAGGGGTTTGTGGGGGTGGTTACTCGGGGTGGAGAGCCTCCCTACAGCTCCTAGGCGGCAGAAGGGTGTGTGGGGGGGTGTCTCCACACCATGCACTGCTGGCGTCCGCAGGCCCTGCCCTCGCAGCTCCCATTGGCTGTGGTTCCCAGCCAATGGGAGCTGCGGCAGCCAGTGCTTGTGGCAGGAGCAGCAGGGACGCGCAGCCGGGTGTTGGGATATGTACGGGTTAAGTAAAGACCTGGGAAACAGCTGGTGTGCTGACATGGTATTAGGGAGTAGAAGCACGGGCAGGCACTGTTTCTGCACTTGATAAAGTGCCATCCCTCTCCTTTCCCTTCTGCTTGTTAAGGATAGATAAGTGTTGCACCTGCATAAGGAATGTGGGGGGTCTAGAGAATACCCTTTCTGTAAAGAAGTGTTATCTCCCCCTCTCCCTTCCTTTCCCAGCTACATAAATGAGCTCGGGGTCATGGCCCCTTCCTCCCTTCCCTGCAAACTGCTGATTATAAATAAATTATAAATAAATGTATTTGCAAAGAATTATTGCAAAGAAATGTATTTTCAAGGTAAAAATTTCTGTAGAATATGCTTAATGCTGTAAATAGTGAACAGGGGCGGAGATAATTATATTCAGTATATGGGTATTCACGTTACTAAATAAGGGTTTTGGGGGTGTTACAGTAAATGTAGGTATTTACCTATTAATTTAGATAAAAGGGTATGATGTGATTAACTCAGGGCTTACTCAACAATTGCGTCAAGGGGAACAAGTACTGCAATAAAAAGCCCATCTACTCAATCCGCTTCTGGGTCAGCCTGATCATTCTCTAACACCGGGAAGGGAGCCCCACCAACCCTCCCTCCCCCAGCACCAGCGTGGCCCCCACATTCCCCAGTACCAGTGGGGGTCCTGGGCCACGTGCTGCAGCCCGGCCCCCCCTCCCCAGGTACCAGCAGGGTCCTGGCCACGTGCTGTGGCCTGCCCCCCCCCTCCAGCACCAGAAGGGGTCCCTGGTCACCACAACCCCCCCTCCCTCAGCACCTCCAGTGCCCCCAGACTGCCCCCCAGAACAGCCCCGCCATCCCCCACCCAAGTTTTAGTCATGGTAGGTATTTTTAGTAAAGGACATGGACAGGTCACGGGCCCATGAATTTTTGTTTACGGCCCGTAACCTGTCCATCACTTCTATTAAAAATACCTGTGACTAAAACGTAGCCTTACCAATGGATAACTGCAGAGTGTAAAGTAAACAATGCACAAGAAATGAATGTTGATTCCAAGGACCCAGAAAACAGGGACAATGCTGCCAGTGTCTCTTTGGAGTGTTTCACCATTACTGGGACAAAATGGAAGCCCATGTTTCCCTCCCTTCTCCAGACTTTCTAAGAGTGGGTTTCATGTTAGTAGAAGAAAAAGATAACACAGGAACCTGGGAATGCAGATAGATGACAAATTTCAAATTTGAGTTCTTTCCTCACTTGTGAAAGCCAGTGCATTCAGCTGTGGACTGACATCCCTAAGTGGACAGCTCTGGGGGGAAAGGACAATTAATTTTAGGTTGATACAGCACTCCCTTTCATTCCCAGACACCGGACAAGAGAGTCTGTGGGGAGCAAAATTCCGAATAGTGACACCGTGAGGAAAATGGGAGGCTATTCTGACTTGTACTTTAAAGCCCCTGGGTTCCCAAGACATTTATAGGAACAAAGAATGTAGGGATAATAAAATGATTATATGATGCCTTGGTAACATAGTTCTCAACATACAACCCACTATGACAAGAACTTGGCTCCTCCTCAGAACCCATGGGGTAAAAACCCTAGAAGTGTGGGTCTTGGAGCCACGTGCAATTAAGTTAGGCAGGGCATATGTAGATCAAACCAATGTAAAAAAGCAATTGGTAATTAATCCAACCCATATGCTGAAAAGGGTTATTGTGAGTGTCACCTTAGCAAACATTTTGGTAATAGAACCCCACTGTGCAAAATTTGTCCAGCCATAGTATGAGGTTTGGAAGAATTGGATAAATCTTAATGATGTCCCCAGATCCCGCAAGAACCAAGCTAAAAGGGATGTATTAGGCACAATTGGCATGAGGGTAGGAGTTCTCAATAGTATACACAAAGAGGTGGTTGCAAATAAAATGAATGCAGTAGGGCAACACATGAAGGATTTAGCAATACCCCTAAGGGGATCCCAACTATGCATATAAAATGATGGGTCCAAATTAGCTGTTACCACTCAGAAAGGGATCTTGGAGTCATTGTCGATACTTCTCTGAAAACATCCACTCAATGTGCAGTGACACTCAAAAAAGCTACAGAATATTGGGAATCATTAAGAAAGGGATGTGGCAACCTTACCTGCAGCCTTGGTTCAACTCTCCCACTCATCAAAAGGCCTGTTCACTTGACTTGGTGTTCACCAAGCTCTGATCTCACTGTTGCTGAATCCTCCCTCTCTGACCATCACCTGGTCTCTTCCTGCATTGCCCCTCAGTTCTGTCACATCCATTCAGAGTGCTACTTCTAAGATCATTTTTCTAGCTCACTGCTTTGCCACGTCACCCCGTTCTCTGGATCCCTCCACTGGCTCCCCTTTCTCTATCACATCAAACATAAGCTGCTTGTCTTCTATTTCAAGGCTCTTCACTGTCTAGCTGTACTCTCAAAAAGAAAAGGAGTACTTGTGGCACCTTAGAGACTAACAAATTTATTTGAGCATAAACTTTCGTGAGCTACAGCTCACTTCATCGGATGCTGTAGCTCACGAAAGCTTATGCTCAAATAAATTTGTTCGTCTCTAAGGTACCACAAGTACTCCTTTTCTTTTTGCGAATACAGACTAACACGGCTGCTCCTCTGAAACCTGTCTGTGCTCTAGCTGTCATCTCTCATTTGCTGTCAACACTCACCTCCAATCAGCTCATGATGCTAGCCTCCCTCACCCACTTGTTAAATTTTCAACAAGCAGCCTCTTGCTTTCTCTCATGCTGCCCTTCATGCTTGGGAGGAGCTCGCCATAATCATCTGCAAAGCCAACTCATTGTCCTCTTTCAAATCCCTCCTCATAACTTCCTTTTGCTCAGATACTGTAAGCAACAAGCTTAGCAACAGTTAGGCTGCTGGGCTAAGACGTGAGATCGCTGCCAATCATGCTGACCAACAGTGACTCTTTTTTTTCTTGTAGTCCCCCATCTGCCGGTATCCATTTGTTGTCTCTGTGTTATACTTCGATCATAAGCTCTCTGCTTATCTGCTGATTTAAAAATGTAGATGTTGGTTAACATCTTCCTTAGTTACTAATGGACAGAAAGTAGTTCATCTATCTCATGTGATCCTGCTTATTTCAAAACATAGAACTATTTACTGAACACCTCTGGCTTTTATGCATCATTATTAACAATTTTACCATATCCACCTAGTAAGGGCCTACACAGGTAGATACAGGTGAATGTTATTCCAGCTTTACTTACTAGAGAAGCCATCAGAATACTATTTGGTCCACCATCATGTGTTCTATAAACCTAGAGGGGGAGCTGGAAAAGGAAGCATTTGTCACCCTTAGAGGTTATAGAACCTGTGGAACTTACATTTAGGTATTAGTTAATTGCTTTGAATTGCTTTTAAATTTGTCTCAGTTAGTGAGAGAATGGGGCAGAGCTCAGTGAAGTGAGAATCTGTAAATTCTTACGTGACTTAGCTGAGCTTATGGGAAAAGTTAGTGCCATGCAGAGTGAAAACCTTATAGAAATCCTGGGAATGGATATTTTATATGCTGATCTCAATACTTGCCCACTTTTGATGCAGGATACAGATTTCTTTCACCAGCAACTAAGCAGACAAGAAAACTATTAATCCCAGTCTTGGAATGCTATGAGGATCCCCAGACTTTTTGTTTTCTTTTTGCGCTGACAAGGCTCTCTGAAACGTTCAGAAAAGAGCTGAGATTGTGCCACTCTTTTCTAGCTCTGTTGAGTCCTGGTGACTGACAAACATACATACATGGCCACGGAGGTAATATATTTTATTAGACCAACTTCTATTGGTGTGTGAGAGATAAAGAAAGAGAGAGAGAGAGACATACACGTATGTTCTTGTTCCTAAAGGCCTAGATCCAGAAAGGGACTTAGGAATTACAAAGCCTTACTTTTAGATGCCTAGAAAATCACTTTTTGTACAACAATGGGATTTACAAAGCCCACGTTAGGTGCCTAGCTCCCTCTCCTGTACAGGGATACAATGCAAGATGAGCCCAAGTGATTCAAATATAAAGGGGGTGTTGTTGAGCTGGCTAGAGGCAGAAGGCCTGGCAATGAGCTAGGGAAGCCCAGGATGGAACACTATGTGGAGCTGGAACTGATGAAAGCCTTTGTATTGTTTTGGGCAAACTTTTTTGCCAGCTTGATGAAAGTGAATTAAAAGATTTTTGCTTGAGAAGGTGATTGGAACCTTTGTGAGTTCATACAGGAGTCTTGGTGAAAGGGAATTAGAGGTGGGTCAGGGCCATGGCACTACAGGTACCTAAAAATAAGATCCACAAAAGCCGGCACACTAGGTGGGAAGCTGCCTAAGATAGCCATGGGGAGAGGCTGATGAGAGGGGGTCTGTTCTAAGCCCTGCTCCTCTCATGGAGTTCAGCATCTAAGCCTATACTGCAGCAAGGCACTTAGCTCTAATGACAGGTTTCAGAGTAGCAGCCGTGTTAGTCTGTATTCGCAAAAAGAAAAGGAGTCCTTGTGGCACCTTAGAGACTAACCAATTTATTTGAGCATAAGCTTTTGTGAGTGAGCTGTAGCTGTTGGTTAGTCTCTAAGGTGCCAGAAGTCCTCCTGTTCTTTTAGCTCTCATGGTGACTCACTGCTGGGAACCCTTTCCTGGAGTTAGGTGACTTAGGCACCAAAGCTGTTTTTTGTGAAAATGAATTAGGCACTTGCCTCATTCTGGAGGTGGCGTTGTCAATTTCCCTCTTAACCCTTAGTCGAATGATTGCGAGTATCCAGCCAGAAGGTGATCAGCCTGGGTTCCTAGAGCCCTGGAGCTGGAGGAAAGAAGGGACCCCTAGTCTGAGCGCCTCCGTGGGGCAGGCCGCTGGCGGCAGCCGCCCACTGAACCCAGCGACCGAAACTAGACCCAAGTATTACAGGCCACAGGCCCCAGACTGTTACGTGCCACAGGCAGAGAAGAGGAGGCACCGAGGGGCCCCAGCGCTTGAGGCCCCCACCGTGGTAGGGACACTGTCCACTGAGGTGCATCCAGGAGGTCCTGGCAAGCGACCCGCGTCCCAGCCCGCAGAGGACGGTGACACGCGCCAAGCTCGCTGCCGATCTGAGCTGGGGAGAAATTTCCTCCCGACCGCGCCTGGGGCGAGCTACCAGAGCCGTGAGCCAGCCAGGCGCCGGAGAGAGAATCGGTGCCAGCTCAGCGCGCACCCCGCCCAGGCAGCCAGGGTCGCACCGCGCTGCTGAGAGCGGCACCTGGTCTGCTGGGGCCCCGGCACCGCTTTCACCTCATTCACCACAGCCCTGCCCGCCCGCCCGGACCAGGACCCCACGTCCCGCTGCAGCCAACTCTGAGATCAAACCAACCAAAACCGGAGTCCGCGGGGACTAGGAGAAAACCCCTGACGCCGGGGGGCGGAGCGGGAAGACGCCGTGACGCGGGGGCGGGGCCATTGCATGGACGCAGCGGGGGCGCGACGTGACGCGGGGGCGGGGCTGTGGCGCGACCGCCTCGAGGGCGCGACGTGACGCGGGGGCGGGGCTGTGGCGCGGACGCGGCGGGGGCGCGACGTGACGC